AAAAAAGTAAACTGTAATAGAGTTATCAGCTGCAATAACACCCCAGGACTGGCTTTATTTTATCCAACACAAATCCCCTGGTATCCACCAGCCTTTCAGGCTGACCTTGAAGAACGTGCCAGGGGAGGAGGCTGGTCCCATCCCCACAAGAGGTGGGTTTGGGGGGGGATCATGTGTGATGGTTTTGGGAGACTTGGGGTGTTGCACACCCAAACTGTCCCCAAACAGCAGAGACACCAGGAGCAGCACAGACAAAGCATGAGATGCTCCAAGTCAAACTCACAACTCAGACACAGCAACTCCAGGGACAGCAGCTCAGCCCCCCCAAATTTATATTCACAGCAATGTTTTTAAGCACTGATACTTTAAAGCTTAGTTCTTTAGTACAACCCTGTCAGCTTTTGTTCTTCTGCTCGCCAATTTTTACTGCTTCACATGGATTTTTTCCATTAAAATCAAAACTGCTTGTTCTGCCTCACAGTGTCCCCAACAGGAACCGCTTTGGGGTATTTGCCATGTGTTTGGCATATTTATTTATGCACCCAGAGATGCTCTCTAATATTAAGCAGGATCTGAGGTTTTAATTAAATGGAAAAAAACCAAATGTGAATGAAGGAAAGGGGGAGGAAAAGGGGAGTCTGACTGACACATCAGGTTTATAATTACCTTAAAATTATAGAAGCTCCTGCCTTTAGTTCCCAGAGCTGTGTGACAGATAATGCTGCTCAATTATACAGCAGAGTTTTCTCCCTCCAGAAGGTAAAGGGGGGAACAGTGCAAGTGTTGAACCAGGTGTCCATTTGGAGACAATTTAATATTTCACATGGTATCAGGATGGACCAGGGCTGTGCTAAACCCTTCAGCACTCCCAGTAACGGGTGCAATCACATCCTCTGCTCGATGACCACACTGCAGAGAAGTTTGTTTTCCTAATAAGACAGACACCACAAAAAGTCATTTTTCTGAGAACTCTCCACAAACATTGCAAGCAATAAAAATCAAATTACATATCAAGTTTTCAGCTTCCAAACTCCCCAAGTCTGATAAAAACAAAGGACAGTCCTACATGGAGTTAAGTCAATGGCAAGAGCAAGCTCAGCTTTTAAAGGTCTTGCAGTCTTTAAGAACTGGGAAGTCTCAGCAGTTTATATTTTCAGGAGGTGGAGGGGAAGTCATTCATGGCTTAATTTTGACAGAGAGTTGGCATTAAAAGCACCATCAGATACCAGGAACCCCCAGCCCTCATTCCTGCCCTCAGTCTTTCCAAGGAGATGATCCCAAGCTGCTATAAATGCAGTTGCAACACCATTAATTTTATAACATCTGAACCAGCACAAAAATGACCAAATCTTTATTTTCCCCCAACCTGAACCATAAAAAGCATTTCAGTGATGAAATGCTAAAGACAGACCGAGTCTGCTTCATGCTGTCAGCAGCACGAGTTTAACACCATCACATACCACAAATAAAATACTTGTGTTGCAAAGTGAACCCAATCAGCATATAAACCCAAGCCAAGAAATTTTATTTACTTATTTAACCAGCAAGCTACCCACAAAGCAAAGTAACCAGCTACTGAGCCAAATGATTTAGCAATCCCAAACCCTCTGCCTCTGTGCTCTACAGGAAAAACGTGCAGGATGCCAGCTGGGAATAGGAACAGCATTTTCTCTGTTATGCTTCATGGTGTATGGACCCTACCAGCTGCCAAAAATTAGCTGTGTAACACAGTGTTACCTCGACAAACCAAATGTTAAAAGCTTAGAAATCCAGTTACACAGTCCCATATTAACATCACACCCAGAGGGAAGGTTGGAACAGTTCTCACAGCATTTCAGGGTTTAGCTCACCCTGCAGCAGCAATAACCAGCAGCACAGAGCCCCAGGGGTTACCTGTGATCCTGCACATGCATCTTCCTCCACTGGGCACAGAAAACAACACAGTACAAACAGATGCACTGCCAAAAAAACCCCCAAACAAACAAAAAAACACCAAAAAACCCCAAAACCAAACCAGCAGCATCTTCCCCACACTGTAACACCTCCAATCCCTGCCCCACAACACTTTCATCCTCCAGGGTTGGGCTTATGGGGAACAGCCTAAATATCTGCAGCTGGGGTGGGACTGGGATGGTCAGGCACAACTGGGCACAGCTGGGCCATCATCTCCCAGAAGCTCCCAGAGCATTAAACACACCAGCACCGTGCTCAGTGACTAATTCCTGAGCTGCTTAGTTGGAGAACCCAGTTCTGGTTTTGCTGAAACACATAACACCTGGCAATACAAGCAATGTGTCAAAACGCTCAGGAAACCAATGAAAGAAAATGAGTTTCTTCTTTAATCCGCCTGCTTGAAGAATGTCCTTGCTGCGATAATCTCTCTCCCTCTAAAGAAAATAAATTTCTATTTTCCAAGGATCATTTTTCTTTTGTGAATTAGCTTCACTTTCCTCTAAGCGCCTTTGCAGAAGTATTCTCCCTGCAACTCAACTTAGGTAAATCTGGAGTAAAAGCTCTGACTCTGAGGGAATTGCTCCCAAATCAAACCAGTGCTAGTGAAAGCTGAGTTTGGCCTCAAAATGCTTTAAATGTTTCTTTCTCTCTGCAGAATCTGCCCCTCCATCTTTGCCTTCCTCTTTGCTTTCCATTGCTTTCTAGTTTTTTTTTGCACTGCTCTCTATTAATCTTCCAGAAAATCAGCTGTCTGATCACAAACATGGAAAATCACATTATTCACTGAAATATCTTCTCTCTAACTCCAGCACCCCAGCCAGGCGCTCTCCTGTGATGGGTACTTTATATCCATAGGGTCTTTTATAAGGATGAATGTCTTTTAATTAGACACAAACTGCGCTCATTTATGGTTGTTAAAAGTGATCTGCAAATCTTTATGTAGCGAAGAACAATCTTCTTATAGGCAACTTAATTGTAATATCACAGCCAGCGAGGCAGAGCTGGCTCTGAGAGCAGCAAAGCCCGTGTGGAGCAGAGAATTGTGAGGAAGAATCCCACATGGATGTGTTTCTTGTTTGCTTTAGAGAAAGGAAAAAAAAACAAACATTAGCAATAAGTGGGTGTTGGGTTTATTTCTTGTTGACATAACTGAAGAACCAGGAGGGGAAATACAAAGGTTTAATGTTGCAAAACAAAAGTGAAATTGTGTGTGTGCACATGTATATTTGTATATATACGAAATGAAAATATTTTGCAATCACACACTGTGTGGGAAGATACATTGAAAGCTCAGAAAAAAAAGAGTGGGAAGATGAGGAGAAGAGGCAAGTGATGCCCAAGGTGAGATATGGGCACGTTCCAGCTGTTGCCACATCTGGATTTTCAGCCACCCAATGTAAGTGTGTTTGTCCTTCGGCTGAGGGTGTTTCTGTTGCCTGTCGCTTTTCCTCTGGCTCACACCACACCGTGGCAGAGTCTGCAGCTGCTGGGGCCTCTTCAGCTCACCTCTCCCCAGCAGATTTGTCTTCTCCATGCTTTTTTTCCAGGCTCTGTGTGGGTGAGAGATGGGGCAAATACCAAGGACCCGAGGCAGAGGCTGCTCTGGGGATGTTTTTCCTTTCGGGGCGGTTTTCTATCAGATGGTGTAAAACAGCAGCGTTTAGCTGAGGCCTGAGCAGGCAGAGTCGGGCTTTTGCCACATCTCGGGGACAGTCTCCATCCCCTTCCTACAGAGAAGGGAAGGTGCAGCAGATCAAACCAGGACCTGGTGCCAGTCAATGGTGTTTCCACCAACTTTGCTGCAGGGCTGAGACCAAGCTGCACAAACCAAGGGACATCTCACTCCTGATGCTCTGATGGACTTGCACTGCCGTGTCCCCTGTCCCCAGGCTCTTGGGACAAAGGAGGAGCCAAGGGCAGAGGTTTAAGGGGTCTGACTAGCAGGGACAGTGCAATCAGGGGCAGAGCATCCCCAGCCCCACACGCTGCAGAAGAGGGGATGCAGGGGACAAGGACAGGAGGGGTCCCAGCCTTCTGCTCTCACCCGGGAATTGCAGTGGGTAAAAGCCACTGGCAAAGCCCAGGGATTGCAAAGCCTGAGAGAGCAGCAGGAGAGGATCCAGCTCCCACCTGCCCGTGACAGCGTCCAGCAGCGCTCGGCACAGCAGAGGCTGGAGCCAGGAGGAGGGAACTGCCAGGCTATAAAAACCAGAGCCAGGCAGGCAGCGTTCACACACACACAGCGACCGAGAGCCACTGCCAGCAACAGCCACCCGCTTCCCGTGGAGACACGGACCCTCGGACACCGCTCACCTGGCTTTTATTGTTCTTGGAATGAAAAGGCCAAAGGGATTCAGCCTCTGGAGCAATTTCTCTTACTTTTGCTGCACTAGAAAGAAGCAACAACGAGGATTCTCCTTCTCCCTTCAATTTACCAGCACAGGGGAGAGAGGACGCGCGAGATGAACAGTTCAGGGAGAAATGGGGATTGGGGAATGTTTAGTGAAGATGAGAGAAAGATCAAGGACTGATCCAGGGGCTCTCACACCTCTTTGCTTGTTGGGAATATTTGCAGAGAGCAGCCGAGCCAGGGAGGGGAATTGCAGCCGCACAGCACAGGGCTAGCGTGACACTGAGATGCATGAGGGAGAGGAGGTGACAACGGTGGTGGGGATGGCAGGAGGTGGCATGTCCATCCCCCCCAGCCAGGGGTAGGGGACCTGGTGCAGCCGTGCTCAGGGGCAGCACTGACCTGGAGAGCTCAGCTATTTGCAGAGAGCAGCCGAGCCAGGGAGGGGAATTGCAGCCGCACAGCACAGGGCTAGCGTGACACTGAGCTGCATGAGGGAGAGGAGGTGACAACGGTGGTGGGGATGGCAGGAGGTGGCATGTCCATCCCCCCCAGCCAGGGGTAGGGGACCTGGTGCAGCCGTGCTCAGGGGCAGCACTGACCTGGAGAGCTCAGCCCTGGGGAGGCAGGGAAGGTTTAACCATCCATCAGAGAGGAGGGTAGAGCTGCCTGTGCTCCTGCAGAGCTTCCCAGAGGGATGGAGCCAGGCTGGGGCTGGAACAGTACTCATCACAGCCAGCCTGGGCACAGCCAGGGGCTGCTGACCCCCCAGACCCTGGCAGGGGACCCCAACCTGACCCTCTTGCACAGCCGGGATGAGGAGCTGGCCAAGGCAGAGATAGGGGTGCTGGCCACCATCCTGGCTGTAGCGACCATAGGCAATGTGGGGGTGCTGCTGGCCATGTACCGCCTGAGGAAGAAGATGAGCCGGAAAAAAACCTGCACCTGGGACTGACTGACCTGGGCGTTGCCCTCTTCCAGGTGCTGCCACAGATGATCTGGGAGGTGACATACCGCTTCTTGGGGCCAGACCCACTCTGCAGGGCAGTCAAGTACCTGCAGGTGCTGAGCATGTTTGCCTCCACCTACATGCTCATCGTGATGACCCTGGACCGCTACATGGCCGTGTGCCACCCGCTGCGCACCCTGCAGCAGCCC